ATAAAGATCTGTGGGAAATGAAGAAATATTTGATAAATAAACTGAATATGTGGCTGAAATGTGTAATTTAAGATGGATGTGACGTAAGACTAGAGAAGATAGATTTTGCAACTAGGAGATCACATGAAGGTGGCATAGCCTCTATGAAGTAAAGGATAATATATGTGTTGAACTGTTGATTTGGCACATCGGTCATCGAGAATAGTGCTCCAGTACAGGGAGTGGAGTAAAGGAGTGTAGAAGACCTAAAGATAAGTTTATGTAGGCTAAAAATGACTTGCATTTAAGGTGTAAAGAGGGACATTAGAACAAAGAGGCTTAATGAGCATATTGCATGATAGAAAAGTCATGTGACATGTAGAAATTCAAAAGGGACGGATACCCAATTTAAACACTCAACTTTATCTTTCGATACTATTAGGCCCCTTAACTTCTATTTGGCCCTAATGAATACATCAAGGTCAAACTTAGATCCCATTGAGCCCTTCTTTTGCATGTCCACCTATTTGTTCATTGTCAAATGACATCGGGGCATAATCTATGTGAGAAACCCAAATAAATGTCATCCAAATTCCAAAAATGTTTGCTCTATTGCAAGGACTACTAGGCCTAGGGTCTAATGAATACTGATGACAAAAGAAGGATGATGAGATTCTTTGTTTTGACGCGAATTGCTTTACGGTAGACATATGCTTGTGATTGAATATACTCAGAAGAATGCAAAAAAAAAAAAGTTTCAATACAGGCTTAACTGCTTAAGTTTGAGTTTTGGTGAAACATGTCTAATTTAAATTTGAGTGCTCACTGTGGCAAATAACCAAATCTAAAGGGTCTGAAAAATGTGATTTGCCTTCAAAAAACATCACCCTTGAAGACCACATTATCAGCTCAAAATTTACTTAAAGTCATATAGAGTTTCTCGTTAATTGTTTCTATTATTATAACCTCTTCAGGAAATTGGACTTTGCTTACAACACAAATTAGAAAGCAAGAACAAGCTTACTAAAAGAATATGCAATGTCTTCTTCAGCATAGGTGAATGATAATGGTCTCAGTAATATACTAATAGTACTTCTCTTGACACTTAAAACAACAATGAATAGGTTTCTGGTTACTCTGGTAATACCAATCAGCAGGGCTCCAATGGTGTAGCCAAGAACCCTAGTAAACCTCACTAACTTCTACCACTTCTATTATGAACCTATGCTAGAAATCTAATGGACAGCATGAGATGGAAGTTTTCTATGGGGCAAGCAGAGAACTAACATTACAGGGAGCAAGGATAACCCCTGGGGAGGGGATGAGGGATTAAAATCAACAAGGACTAGTGACAATTTTGGGTGAAAGCACACACACAAGCTAGAGACCGCTAAGCTCTAAACTTTTGGTCAAAAACTCGTGAACTTATCCACTCCTATCATCCTCCAACTCAACCGCCCACAAGACGCCAGAGCAGAAATTCACTGCATCAGTAAGCACAACTTCATCCCCCAAATATCTTGAAAGCATTTCATACTTGCACAAATTGAACACATCCCACATTTCCCAGCAGTGAGAAAAATGCTACCGGTGATATAGAACATAGTCCCGTACAACCTAAGCATTTCATATGTACACCAATTGAACACATCCCACATTTCCCAGCACACAGAAGAATGTTACAGTGGGTTTACAACTTAGCTCCGCACAACCTAAGAATTACCCCTTTTTTAACAAAACAAGTAGACTTGTCAAGACAACAAACCGCAAATAAAAGAGAATTTCGAGCTAAGCAAGAAGTGATTCAAACGCATAGTCGATAGTGGCAGGTAATACACGAGAAACAGATGTAAGGAAGACCTGATAGCAAGTGACGGGGATTTCGATGGAGGGAACGGGCAAGGAGGGCGAGGCAGCGCCATCAATCCTTCCGGCAGCCGGAGTTTCGGCAAAGCGGACGCGGAGGTCAGTGGCTAATGACCTCCGGCAGTTCAAAACCGCCAAACGCCTCCTCCTAAGGCCGTATCCGAGCCTGATAGGCGCGGCATTGTAGCAATAGTCCTTGCCGGAATCGGCGCCGGCGTAGCAGAAGCACGGGCCGCCGGTCAGCTGGTGAGAAATCGCCATTATCGCATTCACCGACCGCCGATTACCTGCAAGCAACAATATTCATTCATGAATACGAAGGTGAAGGTTTATCAGGTGTTTCTTATTTTATTTTTTATTTTACGAATATTTTTATGACTCCGTATTTGGAAGGCTTTGGATTGATACTTTACTTATTCAACAATATTCATAACCGTTGCTTTGTTTAGCTTTTTACATGAAAAGAAATTTTGATTGATACCCACTAGCTTACACTCTTTTTTTTTTGAAACAACTAGCTTACACTCTTTATTAGTCTTTCTCAGTCTCGGAGTATTTGTTTATTTCTAATATTCGATATTGATATAAAATAATTTTATTAGATTTATTATATAATATACTTTCAAAATTTTACTCCTTTCATCCCAAATTATAATGTTTGTTCACTATTTACAAAGTCAAACTTCATTTACTTTCTTTATCTATTTTCGTTAGCAATTTGATAAAATAAAGTACTATTGTCACTACTAGTTTTGTAGATCTTTTGATGTAGCATTTTAATATGTACGAGTAATTTTTATTTTTAACTCTATGCCATTTCTCATATAAAATGATTTGAAAATAATTTCAGTCAAACATCGTAAACCGAAACAGTCGTTATAAAATGGACGGAAGGAGTATATTTTATCCAATTAATATACAATATATATTATATTTAATTATAGAACAAAGGCTGAAAATGGTTGACTAAAAAATTTCAAAAACTGGAGAAGTATGCCGAGACGAAGGTAATAATTTTTTAATATTCCTTTTTTTACGTCCTAAAATGATTCATGCTTTTATTATTTAAGTTTTCTGATAATTTTTATTTGCTCGTGTGTTTTGATTAGTCATACAATAGAATACAATATTCTTATTAAATCTTATTTTATACTCCTTCCGTCCTTGAAAATATGGAAGGTTATGATTTTTAAGATATTTAAAGAGTGTGTATTTTGGATTTGAGTTTCCAAAAATATCCTTTGATGTGATAAGTAAAAATACGGAGTAAGATTTAATAGGTAGATTAATAATAAATATATATGATGTTATAGGTAGGTTAAGAATAAGTTGGAATAAAAGTGACTTCTTAAAACTCTGTAGAAATGATTAAAAAATTCGGGGCGGATTAAAAAAGAAAGAAGAAGTGTTTTTCCAAGGATTGAGGGAGTAGAATTTTTGATGCTATTTTTTAAGTATGTAATTTATATTGTTTATTTATATACTAATTTATAGATAAAATCATTTTTTAAAGATGATATTATGCAATAGTGTTAATGAATTTAGGATTCGAAGGAATAATTTTTATTTTTTATTTCTATATCAATTTTAAATAAAGCGAATTCAAAGATGTTACATTCATCATCTGCTACATACATCACCCATCGCACGATCCATCCACCAACTACAGGTGAAACGAGTGAAGCTCGTGAAAATGAGTGATATAAACAATAGTTTTTTAGTCATTAATCACATGAAACGAAAAACTTATATATGAGGCGTAAAACATAGAAACATTCTTATAAAAATAAGAAAGAATCTTTCGAGTTGAGTTATAAACTAGATTTTTAGAAAATGTAACGTTAGAAACTAGAACAAACTAATGGACCCAACAAAGGGAATATTTTCAATTTAAATTTTTTTTAAATTAAATATGAATGTGTCGAGTGATGGGCCAGGTGATAAGTGAGAAACATTCCACTTGCATCCAACTCGATTCATCATTATTCCATTCATCATCTGTTCATCACCCTTTTCTTTCGGGGTTTCATCTATGAGTACGAGTCGGATAGATTGGTTATCGATCGAGTCCGATATAAATTGTCATCCCTAGACCTAGCACTCACGTTTAGAGGATGTGAATATAGGTGTTGTCCACCTTAACCAATTTTCACATGATTTATTTTCTTGATTACTCTTGTTTATAAATGAGTAAATTCTCAAAATGATCCTTTGTAATAAGATATTTTTCCAATTCGATTCTTAATCAATTTTAATTACCTACGTAGTTGTTGGGTTATGGAACCCGGGGGCCTAGGTAACTAGGCGAAAGAGTATCGAACTAGTTCAAGAGTGCACGAAATATGGGGTCAGGTAAACTGAGGATAGTATTGCCCTAGTCAGGGTATCACTTAGAACGTAAGTCCCCTCCCCTTAGAAGGGAAAAGGTTTATATACCAGTTACAGCTAGGGTTCCGACCGTTGGTCCGTAATCCAACGGTCTGGGCCCACTAAGATTGGGTTGTTCACTGGCGGCGTCCAACCACATAATTAACCCTAGGACTGCTACACAAACTAGGTTACAAGTAGGGTGGCCATAGCAACTCTGCCAGAGGCATGGCAGGAGTCTAATCGCGGGCCCCTTGATCCTGACTTCAGTCAGCTCCCTTGTCTAGGTCTGGTCTGCCGCTGCTCAAGGCCGAGGCCGAGCGCCTGACCTATCGTCGGAAACCTCCGGACGGAAGGCCGGCCTTGGTTGCTCCGAGGATGACCGACCCTGCCGGGCCCGAGTGCGATTCGCTGGTCTTTTGCCTTGGACCCGCCAAGTGGGCCTTGGCGCAGTTGGGCTGGGCCGTCCTCCTGCTGGGCTGGATACCCCCCTTCCCGGGTATCCATCATGAGTCCCCTACTTCCTCGGCCGAGCGTAGCGAAGCCGAGGGAAGTAATCCAAAAAGTTGAGATTTTGAGTTTTTGAATTTTAGTTTAGAAAATCCTGGCCATGTGTAGGAGTCCCCCACTGTCCAACTTGAGTACTGACGAGGGTTGGAGAGTGTCCCCACTGGCAAGATCTACGTGTCAACCTCGATTTCGGAGAAGCATGATTGTGCTGCTAGGGAGACACAACGTCTCTATACTGTTCCTTTGTCAGCCGTTCATGATGATTTCTGATCGTACGCGAAAGGAAGCGCCACGTCTCTTTGTAATCGTGCCTTTTCATTGAGTCGGGTCGGGTCCCTTTTAACGTATAAAATTGAGAATTTTCCCAATCTTCCCCACTTTTGCCATTTTGCGCCGAAGCTTTGCCATTGATTTCGTTCACCGTCCCCGTTCACTTTGCCGTCATCGCCGCAACCCTACGTGAAGGTTAGTTCACTCTTCCCCGTACTCATGACGTCTTCTGATTCCAATCCTTCCACCCCCGCTGTCGACCCAGCGGCGGTTTGTTTTGAGGAAATGTACCGTCTAAATCCCTCCCTATGCCCCGACGGCTTGATGGGAGGAACTGATTATTCTATGGTTCTGAGTGCGGTGCCTCTCCGTGCATCCGTCACCGTGGCGTTGTCGTCTCAGGCGCCGCCCTTGAAAAAGAAGAAGAAGATACCGAAAGTTGTCCAGGGGAAGAATCCGAAATCCCTACCCGTTACCGTGTTGGAAATGGGTCCGATTACAAATACGGGTTGTCTTCTGTTGGATGTTGACTTTGACGAGGCTCTCCGCTTCGTAGGAGACGGTTACGTGATGCGCCGACCGCATACCACCAACCATGTCTTCTCGGTGATCTGTCCCGACGCCGAGGTCGGGGTGCACGTGGCGTCCATGCGCTACGGCCTTTGCTTCCCCCCTCACGACCTGATAGTCCAATTTCTGAATTTCTACCGTCTTCTACCGGGTCAGCTCAGTCCCCACTCCTACTATTGTTTTTCAATCTTCCTGATCAAGTGTCGCCAGAGGGGAGTCCCCTGGTCTCTGGATTTGTTCCGTTACATGTTCAAGGTTTCCAAAGTGGGGGCCCATGAGGGGAATTCGTATGTTGTCATTTCTTCCCAGGCCGAGTGTGGTATGGTCGTCTTCCCCTCATCCTTGAAACTTTGGAAGGCCAAGTTTGTCTTCATTTCTGGCTTTCCCAGGGACCGGCACTCTTTCCAGGCCAGGTTCCCCGACTGTCACGCGTTTATCCGTCATCCTCGTCCTGAGGCCACTCCCGAGCTTCTGGCACACGCGCAAAAACTGTTGGAGGATTGCCGGCCTAAACCACCCCACGTGTACAAGGTGTGCACGGAGCAGAACTTAGTGGAGGTGGGGATCCTTATTTCCTTCGAGCGTCAGTTCGAGCTATCTGAAGCCGTGCTTGGGAGTCGTCCGAAGTATGGGCTTGAGGAGAGCGCCCCGAGGTCGGAAGATCTAGAATCGGAGGACAACGGAGAGGAAGATGACGGGGAGGCCGAAACTGACGAAGAATCAGGGCAGCCATCCTACTCCGAGGGGGTTGCTGGTATGGAGCCTTTTGGAGGTCTGTCCCTCACATCAGGGTTTTTCCTGTTTGGTGTCTTCTAACCGTTGTTTTATTTTGGCAAGAGATATGAATCCGGTGGATGTCATCCGCAAGGCCAAGCTGCTGGCCCGCAATCGCAGCAGAGGAGAAGGGGCCCAACAAAAACCACCGTCCGAGGATGCAACTGGATCTGCTGTTGCTTCCATCCCGAACTTGGAGATGGTTCCGACCAGGAACCTGAGAAAGAGGAAGGTTATCCAAGTCGAGGATGAAGATACCGCATCTGAGCCGGATACTGTTCCGAGCCAAGGTCCGTTGAGCAAACGGCCGACTGGTCCTCAGGATGGGAAGCATCCCACTTCCTTTGACAAGGTTGATGGGGATGTAAATGCCGAGGTCGAGGTCGCATCCCTGTCCGCGATGTTGAAGGACGAGGACGAGATCCTCTCGTCCTTGCATGGGCTGGTGGATGGATTCCACAAAAAGGTTAGCCTCCTGGTACCCTAACTTCTCTTTTTTTTGTGTACCCCAGAGACGACTGACTTGATCTCTCTCAGGTATCGGCGAAACTGAGCTTGATCAGCAAACGCCGAGCGGGGGCTGAATTCTCCTCAGGCGTGGATTTCTTGGCCTCGGTGGAGACGGAGTTGTCTCGCTTAAGGAAATTGGCGCAAACCGAGCATGAACAGGCCGTTGAGCTTGAAATGCAAGCTGTGGCAAAGTCTGAGGAAGTGGTCCGACTGTAGGGCCTTCTGAAAGAGTCCGAGGAGTCGGCCTCCCAATTGACGGCTTCGATGGCCGAGCTCGATGGGCGGTTGCGCCAATCTGAGGGTCAAATTTCAAAGCTGGACGTTGAGTTGGCCGAGGCTGTTTCCTCGCAGTGATCTATGGAAGCTGAGCGGGATCGGTCTCTTGCCGAGAGGGAGCAAGCCGTTGCCGAGAAGGAGCGTGCCATCTCTGACTTCTTCCATTCCCCATCCTTCAAAGAAGCCTGTCTGGAGAAGATGGCTGCCTATTACGAAGACTGGCTTGGGACCGAGGCCGGTACTGAAAAGATGGGGGTGTAAGGGACGAAGTGGTTCGAGAGTGGCGTCTATCACGGGATTTAGCTCGTCCTTCGCCGGACCCGAAGAGTAGATCCATCCTTCCCTCCGCCCGGGGTCGACATTCCAGAGATGCATGATCCCAACTTGAATGCCGAGCTCGGGGAGAACCCAGACTACCTCGGGACACCCGAGCGGGAGGACATGGGTGCAGATGATGCTGGCAACGAACAACCCTCAGATGCCCTTCTTTAACGTTTTCCTTGTAATGCTTGCAATTTTATCCTTCACTGTAACAAAGATTTTATTACTGTTTCGTTGCATGCGTGAATAGTTGAGTAGACTTCTGACATTGTTTATTTGAATAAATTTGAATTGCGCCTTTTGAGAAACTGACTCTTCGGTTTCCCCACGCAAACAGACCTAACCATTGGATCGTCGCATTGTGCCAAACACGTGTCACAGTTAAACAGTCCCACTTCTAACCGCTGCAACTGTTTAACTCCATTAACCCTCCATTCGTGGGCCTATAAATTGACCTTCTCCTTGCACCGTAAAATTCATCTCTTCATCTCTTGTGTTAATCTTTTCATGGCTTCCGATATCCCCAGGGAGATCGGTCCTCTGCCTTCCCAGCAGAAGACCATCCGCCGTCGTCATCCTCCTCCGCCGGAGGATGCCGAATCTCGTACAAGCTCATGGTGGTACCGTGCAAAGAAGTTGGAAAAGCGGATTAAACGTCTCAGAAGACTCATGGATTATCTTCACGGAGTTTCCCAAATGGAGTTTGACTTTGCGCGCAATGAATGCTCTTGTGATAAATGCCTTGTTTTGATTATAAATACGATGTGTTGCTCCCTTGCTTGTTTGCTCTCTTTTCTTTTCTTTTCTTTTTTTGCACCCCAAAGGGTTCTTTTGCGCTCACACCCTCAGTAGGGCGGCGAAAGGTGTGTCCTCAGCAGGACTAGGGGTCGTGGAAGACATCCTAAGCAGGACTGCAAGTTTTTTGTCCTAAGCAGGACCTTGCGCTTCCCTTTGTGCTATTAACAAGTTGTGCCCATTCGGACCTTGTTCTTCGTCTCGTTCAGAGCGCCGATTCCCTGGGTTAAGCCGTGCGGATGGGCTCCCCCCCTGAAGGGACACTCGGTAACAGGCATTGCCGAGTGGCGAGATGGTTAGAATTTGTTTCTTGGGACGTGTGTGGGAGCAAAAAAGGACTTAATTCGCGTAAAGCGAAAGACCGCGTGAGGCCAGAAAATCGTGGCGTGGGAGCCCGATAGCGCTAAGCAGCGTCTATAAATTGCGTAAAGCAAAAAACAGAATTCGCGTGGAAGCGATTATTTCATTAAGTAAAAGAGTTTTTTTTAGCTGCCGAGGCCGACTGGTTATGGTTCTCAGCGCCTTACATGTAGAAAGAAGTAAGATTGTGCGTGTTCCAGTGCCTGCTGAGTTCGCGACCTTCAAGAGTGGAGAGCTTGTAGGTGCCTGGCCTGAGCACGGCCGTGACCTTGTATGGTCCTTCGTAGCTTTTGGCGAACTTTCCCCCTTCTGTAGGTTGGTTGGCTTCCCTTTTCCTGAGTACCAAGTCTCCTACTCGGAATTCCCTTGCCCTGACCTTGCGGTCGTAATATTCTTTGACTTGCCTTCGGTAGTTCTCTGCTTTTAGGAAAGCTTGCTCCCGGCGCTCTTCAATGAAATTGAGATCGGCTGCCATGGTCTCCTCGTTCTCCTTGGCTTCGTAATTCTCTTCTCTCCATGTCGGGATGAACACCTCCGAGGGCGCTCTCGCTTCCAGGTCGTAGCACATTGAAAACGGCGTTTCTTCAGTTGCCCTCCTCGGAGTGGTACGGTATGCCCACAGTACGTTGGGGAGTTGGTCTACCCACGCTCCCTTGTAGGACTCAAGCCTCTTCTTGATCTCGTCCATGATTGTTCGATTGGCATTCTCGACTTGGCCGTTCCCCTGCGGGTAAGCCACCGAGCTGTAGGTGTGCCTTATCTTCCAATCTCCCAAAAGTTCTCTGAAATCCCCAGCTTCAAATTGGGTTCCGTTGTCTGTGGTGATCTGCTTTGGGACACCGTATCGGCAGAGTATGTTGTTGTTCACAAATTTCGAGCATTGTTCCGAGGTTCCTCCCACCAAGGGCTCGGCCTCAATCCACTTCGTGAAGTAATCGATGGCCACAATGATCCAACGGAAATTACTAGGTGCCCTCGGCATTAGTCCTATCAGGTCTATCCCCCAATGAGCAAAAGGGATCGATGAGCTGATGGGATGATAGCTGGTTCCGGGTCTTCCCGGAATGTTCTGGAATATTTGGCACACTTTGCATCACTTGGAGCGCCTGGCACAGTCCTTCACCATGGTCGGCCAGAAGTATCCCTGCAGGACAATGCGTCTGGCCATGGAGAAAGGACCTTGATGTGCCGCGCATACTCCCTCGTGGACTTCTTCCATGATCTGCCCCGCTTTGGCCTCATCAACACACCTTAGCAATGTGCCATTATATGATCTCTTGTATAGCCGGCCATTCTCAATGACATATGACGGTGCCCTCCGTTTGATCAAACGGGTCGTCGTCTCATCTCCGGGGAGAATCCCATCCTTCTTGTATCGGATCAATTTTGCGATCCAACCGTTGGCTTCCTCGGTCATAGCAGAAACGAGCTGCACGTGAATGCTCGGAGATCCCAGGTCCTCAACACGGGCCATCCTGGAGATGTGCTCGGGGTCGTCGTTGCTCAGTTTGGATAGAACATCGGCCTTGGTGTTTTCCGCCCTCGGGATCTATACAAGCTCGTATCCTTTAAGAATTTTGAGCAATTCCAGAGCCGCTTCCTTGTATAGACGCATTCGTTTCTCCTTGGTTTCGAACTCTCCTTTGATTTGACTGACGACCAAGCGCGAATCGCACCTGATCCTGACGTACTTAGCCTTCAGGTTGAGGACGAGCCTCAGGCCACTTAGTAACGCCTCATACTCGGCTTCATTGTTGGACACTTTGAATTGGAATTTTATTGCATGATAGGAGCGGAATCCTTCAGGTGATTGGATTACCACGCCCCCACCGCAAGCCTTTGCAGCTGATGATCCATCAGTAGACAAAGTCCACCACTTTCCCTCCTCGGCCGTTGGTATGGGGTTGTTGTCACGTGCCGTACATTCCACCATGAAATCGGCCAAGGCCTGGGCTTTGATTGCTGCTCTCGGCTTCATCTCTATCTGGTACTGACTCAGATAGACAGACCATTTGATGACCCTGTTAGAGGCCGTCGGATTCCTGATGATGATGCTCAGAGGCTGATGACTCCTCACTTCCACTTCGTGGGCTTGGAAGTAATGGTTCATCTTCTTGACCGTGTTGACGACGAACAAGATTGTTTTTTCCACCACCGAGTATCTGAGCTCGGCATGCCTCAAGGTTCTGCTAACATAATAGATGGGGCGCTGAGCATCCCCTTCTTCCAGTAACAAAACAGAACTTATGGCCCCAGGGCTGACGCCCAAGTAAACATACAGTTTCTCGCCCTTGATCGGCTTTGCTAGCACCTGCGGAGTTAACAAATACTTCTTCAGCTCTTCGAATGCCGCCTGGAACTCGGGTGTCCACTGGAATTGTGGAACCTTCTTCAGTGTGCTGAAGAAAGGGATACTCTTCTCGGCGGATTTTGATAAAAATCGGCCGAGCGCGGCCATCTTTCCCGTTAGGCACTGTACTTCTTTTATGGAGCGGGGGGCCTCCATATTTAGGATTGCTTTGACCTTCTCGGGATTGGGCTCAATACCTCGTCGGCTCACGAGATAACCTAAGAACTTGCCACCTTCTACACCAAACGTACATTTTTTGGGGTTAAGACGTAAATTGAACTTGCGCATAATAGAAAAAACCTGGGATAGGTCCTCCGCATGGTCGGAATCCTGCTTGCTCTTGACGATCATGTCATCCACATATGCCGCCATCGTCCTCCCCAAGACCAAGTGGAACACTCGGCTGACCATCCTTATATACGTGGCTCCGCTGTTCTTTAGCCCGAATGCCATCACCAAATAGCAATACACCCCCTCCGGTGTGAGGAATGCCGTCTTCTCGGCATCTTCCTCGTGCATGAACACTTGGTGATATCCTCTGAACGCATCCATGAAAGACATGACCTCGCACCCGGCCGTTTCGTCGATCATTTGATCAATGTTGGGCAAAGGGAAAGGGTCCATAGGACAAGCTCGATTCAGGTCAGTGTAATCCACACACATCCTGAATGTCTGTCCCTTCGGTGCCAGCACGACGTTGGCCAGCCAGGTGGGGTATTTAATCTCCTTGACATGCCCCGCTGCTTGGAGCATGCCCACCTCCTTCTTCACGAAATCCCTCCGGTCTTTGCTAAAGTGTCGCCTTCTTTTCTTTATGGGCTCCGTGTCTGCCTCGATCGCGAGGCGGTGGGTGATCAGGGATTTGCTAACTCCTGGCATATCCTCGACACTCCATGCAAACACCACGAAGTTCTCCCTGAGTACCTGTATGATCTTTGACCGAAGCCCGGCACTGAGGTTAGTACCGAGCTTGATTTTCTTTTCCTGATGCTCCTCCATTATCACCACATCTTCTGTGTCCTCGGCTGGCTCAACTCGAGGACGACCTTCTTCCTCCTTCAAAAGTGCCGTGGCAATACTGTCCACTCTGAGATCCTGGGCATCCATCTTCTTTGTTTGCTTCTGGTAGCAGAGTCGGGCGAGTTTCTGGTTTCCTCGGCACACTCCTATTCCCGAATCGGTAGGGAATTTCATGCTTTGATACTTCACCGACGTTACGGAATCGAGATCTTCCAGTGAAGGCCGACCCAAAATCAGATTGTGGGATCCCAGGAGTTGCACTACCATGAACTCGGCCGGAATGGTCTTCTTGTGCTCTCCATCACCAAAGGTGACCATCACCTCGATCAGGCCTTCTGAGTCGATGATGTCTCCTGTGAATCCGGACAAGGGAGTCCTTACTCTCTTCAGGAGTTCCTTCTTTAACCCCAGTTCCTCAAATGTCTTTACATACATGATGTTGACCGAGCTCCCGTTATCAACGTAGGATCGGTGGATTACCACCTCGTTGATCTCGCACCTGACGACCAAGGCGTCTCTATGGGGTGATGGGATCTCAGGTAGGTCCTTTGGACTAAACAGGAGGGGCTCTGTCCTTGCGACCTTCGACGGTCCAGGTGCACTGCGAACGTCCCCGACGTAGGCCGAATGTACCCATTTTTTCCTTTGTTCAGCACTATCTCCTCCGGTGTTGCCACCGTAGATCATCCGGCTCTCTTCGATCCTCTTCTTCCTCGTCGCTCGGCAGGCCTATCTCCTTCCTTTTCTTCTGCTGAGTTCTCGCTGGTTTCTTCCCTCGGTTGTCCCCGCTCTTCTTTCCGTCGTCCTTGCGCCACGTGTTCTTCTTTTTGACGAACTGTCGCAAATATCCCGCCTGGATTAGGTTCTCGATCTCCCTCTTGAGGACCTTACACGCGTCCGTGTCATGACCAGCTGCTCTGTGAAACCTGCAGTAAGGACCCTCACCGATGGTGCAAATCGGAGGCAATCGCGGGTCATACTCCACCAAGCCCTGATGCTCGGCGAAATCCAGGATGGCGCTTACGGGATGAGTAAGCGGCGTGAGCTCATCGGGAAACAACAACTTAGGACCTCTGGGGGGGATAAGGTCTCCGGTCCTCAACCCCTTTTTCATATACATCTTTTCCGTGCGATCATCGGTCGCGCGAGTCCCTACCCTTCCAGAAGCGGTTTCCGACTGGCAAATGTGGTCGCTCATCAATAGTGACCTTCCTCGGTGTAGGCCTCACTGCCATCGCGATTGAACCCAGCTTCCCTGCTTCTTCCTTCTTCTTATTTGCCTCCAACTCCTCTGCCTCGGCATCATCCTCTGCCATGGCCAGCGCGATGGAATACTCCCTCGGCTTCTCCAAGGCCAGACGCCTGGAGAAGTCCCCCGATCGTAAGACCAGATGAAAAGTGGATAGCCTGGTTTTGTCATCCGCTCCGTAAACTCTGGTGGTCTCCAATTTCCATCTTGTCAGGAATTCCCTCAGTGGCTCGTCGGGTCTCTGCCGGACCGGCAAGAGGTGTGAAAAATGCAGCTTCTTCTTCCTGTTGCCGGCGAAGTGCACCAGAAATTTTCGCGCCAAGTCTTCCCACGACTCGATCTTCCCTTCAGGCAATTCATTGAACCATTCAGATGCCAACCCGTCGAGAGTGGCGGGAAACGATCTGCAAAGAACTTCCTCGGAGAACGTCACCACGTTCATGAGGGTTTGGTACCGGTTGAAATGCTCCTGTGGGTCGGTAGTTTTGTCATACCTTGGTATTGGGGGCATCTGGAAGCTGCTCGGCAGTGGTGCCCTTAAGATCCTTTCCGAAAAAGGAGAACGGAGTCTGAACATGGGTTCGGCCGTTTGCCCCGTCCCGCTCCTTTTTTCTAAGGCGTCCAGCCTTTGCAAGAGAAGATCGATGCGTTCGTCCCCAGATCTGCCCATGCCGACGTCCATCGCGACGGGCGTCCTTTGCGGCGCTCTCAGAACCGGATGTTGGACGGGTTGCTCGACCCGGGAATTTGGCCTTTCTAGATGGACCTCTCTGTATCGGTCACACTGTTCCTCGCAAGGCATCCTGATCTTCCCTGCCTCGTTCTGCAGGAAGGTATTCCGTCGGCCATACAGCCGTTCTGTGACCGGCACTCGCATCCGGCTGAACACAGATGCGTGCGACTCACTCTCACCTTGTCCTTCCTTCGGGGTTTCACGGCGCTGGCTCGCCGTCTCTTTGTCCCGATGGCTAGCTTGCTTCTTGTTGGCCCTGCGCTCCGGGCCCTTGCCCTTGTCCCGCTGTTGGGATCGGCTAAGCTCCTTGTTCTCAGGTCCCTCGGGCGAAGGATTCAGGCAGAAGCCCGCCATTAGATTCTTCAGGTGTTGGGCGAAAAGTTCCGCACCTTCCATCAAGTTTTGCTGGACCTCACGACGTCCGTCAGGCTGGAACGTTGGCTGCGGCATCGTGACCGGCATGCAGAAACCAGTCATGGGCTGATTGGGCATCATTGCCCTCATCATGGCCCAGAAACTGCTAGGGTCTGGACCTGGGGTCCTCGCACCAGAGGTCTCCCCGAACTGGAAAAATGGTGAGTTAAAATCACCGGGCAACACCATGCCTCCCCCACGCACAAGCCCGTTGGGAGAAGGCTGAGTTAGAACGCCGGCGCCCTGGGTGGGCACCTGCTGGGTTGGCGCCTGAGAACCCCCAGCGTTCGTCGTCCGCCGCCTCGGAATGCGGTGACGCAGATCAGTGGTATTCTGGCTGGCGACGTCATTGAGGCTGATGTCCAGTTCGTCGTGGCCCGCGCCGATCGGCGCCGTGACGGTCATCTTGAGACCACCACCGACGTTGGCGGTAGACGACCTAGTCACTCTTCTTGACGCCACCATTTTCTTTGGAGCACGCTTGATCTGTCCAACACTCTCAATGAAAGCACCAATGTTGGGTTATGGAACCCGGGGGCCTAGGTAACTAGGCGAAAGAGTATCGAACTAGTTCAAGAGTGCACGAAATATGGGGTCAGGTAAACTGAGGATAGTATTGCCCTAGTCAGGGTATCACTTAGAACGTAAGTCCCTCCCCTTAGAAGGGAAAAGGTTTATATACCAGTTACAGCTAGGGTTCCGACCGTTGGTCCGTAATCCAACGGTCTGGGCCCACTAAGATTGGGTTGTTCACTGGCGGCGTCCAACCACATAATTAACCCTAGGACTTCTACACAAACTAGGTTACAAGTAGGGTGGCCATAGCAACTCTGCCAGAGGCATGGCAGGAGTCTAATCGTGGGCCCCTTGATCCTGACTTCAGTCAGCTCCCTTGTCTAGGTCTGGTCTGCCGCTGCTCAGGGCCGAGGTCGAGCGCCTGACCTGTCGTCGGAAACCTCCGGACGGAAGGCCGGCCTTGGTTGCTCCGAGGATGACCGACCCTGCCGGGGCCGAGTGCGATTCGCTGGTCTTTCGCCTTGGACCCGCCAAGTGGGCCTTGGCGTAGTTGGGGTGGGTCGTCCTCCTGCTGGGCTGGATACCCCCATTCCCGGGTATCCATTAGTAGTCTTTTATAATTGTGATTCCCTTTGTAAATAGTGTTAGTAAAATAATGATTAATAAAATGATATTCTGGTATTTCTATCATCTAAATTTTAAAGTATGTTATCAAAATGCCCGTTTCTATACAATTAAATTTAAAAATAAAAAAAATAAATTGACTATACATAACTTATGAATTATCAAAACCCGTAAAAAATATTTTAAAATTCGAATCAAATACACATATTTTATCAAAATGCACACAATTAATTATCATTTGAGTAACATTTTTACGAAGGAATATCTAAAGATTGAGTAAATTTCAATTATAAAGGACTACGTAGGTAATTAAAGCTTATTGAAAACTGATTTGGAAAAACACCTTACTAGAGAAGATAATTTTAGAAATTTTCTCTTTATAAAATGTTTAAGAATATGCAACCACATGGAAAACTGATTTGGAAAAGTAAGCAGTAAAAATCAGTAAAGAGCACTGATGGTGTAAATATAACTGGGTGGGTTGACCGGGTTTGACCTGGACACACTCGACCCGTAATAAAATACACACAACAAGAACACAAAGTATGACCTAGACCGGGTAAATCTCCTCAGTCCGAATTATATTTCTTACTCTGTCTCAAGAGTGTACTTTTAGTGAGATAAAACTTGGATCCCCTCCTCTATCCATAGTCATCATATTTATAGAAGAGGATTTGTGACTTTCCCTTGTTCATCTATGGACAAAATAGGAAACCCGGAGGAAGGTCGCTGTACATAATGTAATCACTATTCAATCAGTGATTTTAGTAGCTACAACTCCTACAAGTCAAGACACTATTCAATCAAAGACTATAAGGTGGATATTCCCAATCCAATCAACCCTACAAGATGACAAACATCCCTTTCATTGTATGCCTCGTGATGGATGAGCGGCGGGGTGGTCCCCCGATCCTTGACGTGGTTCGTCATGCTTAAGAGACTAGACCAATGTTAGCCAAGTAGAGTGATATGACCGGTCACCTTTTCTCAAAGGTTACCCGGTCACTTCTTGAGCGCAACCCGTCTCTTTGGTCTTCCGGAATATCCTTCGTAACATTAGGTGATATTTTGGCTATCACCCAAAATGTGACCGGTCACGTTTTGACCTGTCTCAATCGAAGAGTTTGCCTCATTTTGTAATCGTGGAAAGTGACCGGCCAACTTTTTGACCTGTCACTTTCGTTTACTCAGGCCGGGTATAAGGATATACCCATCAAACACCATATTTTTTTGATATATTTTATTCTTATTTTTTTAGTATATTCCTGAAATGATCTTTTCTAATAAGATTTTTTTAAAATTAGTCTTTAATATGCAATAATTACTAATATGGTCCTTTATAATTGAGATGTATTTCCTAAATAGTCTGTGTAAAAAATGTCGATTAAATGATACTTAAATGGAGAGTATTCTTGTATTCTTCATCATCAAAACTACAAATTTGTCCTAAAAATGGTCCTTTCAAATTAAGTTCGTAGTTGCAAGAGGAACGAACGTATGCCGAGTAGGCTTATGAACTCCATTTTGGGGTAACATTTACTTAGAAACTATCAGTTTGAAAAAATACTTAATTATAAATGAGCATATCGAGAACATACTTCAAGTCTAGATGATAGAAAATACTAAAATATCTTTTATTTGAATGACATTTAATAGCTATTTTCGGTGGAGGACAATTTAGAGAATATATCTCAATTACAAATGACCACATTGATAATTATTGTTTGTTGAGAACTTATTTGGGAACTGTTCATCTAAACACTTTGACTCATCAAATTCTCTCAATGTGTAAGCCTAAATATAGTCATGTGTGATCTTGTTTGATTTGTCTTAATATATATATTATTAATATATAATTTCTATAATTTTTTAATATACAAATTACAAGATAAAATGGATTAAAGAATTGCATTGGATGATGTGTAAAAATGAAAGTGGACAAATACAGGGGAGCGGAGGGAGTATTTAGTTACATTGTAAATTTAGTAAACTTAGACTTATTTTAAAATGTAGTTTTGAAACATTCAATTTTTATAAAATATATTATTTTAAACTATATTTAATTCATGGTAAAAAATGTTATAGTTTGATCAAAAAAATCAAATTTGGACCGAGTATGTAGTAATTGAAAGCCAGGGTTAATTCATTGTTCACCACTCCGTAGCCGCCCGTTGAAGATACAACCGCCATTTCAGGACACCTTCCATTCCCATCCATCCATCCCTCCTTTGAATCGGTCATTGGCTCTTACCCAGAAATTCTTCCATTCACCGCTAACAGTTTCTCCGATTCTGAAACAGAGGGAGAAAGAGAGATCAAAGAGAGAGAGGAAAAAACAAATCTCCCTTCCCTCTCCCTCCCCCCCCTCTCTCTCTCTCTGCGCTTAAACATGAACAACAAATCTTCCGTCTCCAAGGAACTTAACGCTAAACACACAAAGGTACGATTCCTTCTTATTCTTATTCTTATTCTTATTCTTATTCTATTCGTCCTTTTCAATGCTTTGTTTTGTTCGGAATTGCTCTTCTGTATTCATTACCAGCGAAATCGAGCTGTTCGAAATTCGAATATTTATGGAAATTAAGAGCATAAATGGAAGCTGATTGGGTCCAATTAACAAAGAGATATGGATTTTTTATTATAGAATCTGTGGGTTTGCTGTGAAAAATTTTGTCACTGGGGGAATTATAGGCATTTGTGTTCTGGTAATGGGAAAAAGTTTCAATTGATAATTAGGCCTGATCTCCAAAGGAGACAATTGTTTGGTTTATTGGAAATCGCCAGGTCGTTTGTTTTTTGGGCAAGTAGAATGAATTTTGATCATCAGAAATTTTGAAACAGTTATATTATTGTATGAGCGGTCATATGCGTATGAATCATAGTTTTCAGAACCGGACCGGTGACCGAACCGGTCAAGGTACTGGTTCACTGGTTTACTGGTCGAACCAGTGGTTCAACTGGTCGAACCGGTGGTTTAAACATATTTAAAAATTATATAAATATAAATAAATAAATATATATGTGTGTGTGTGTATGTATATGTATATATATTTACACACACATACATACATACATATAGACACACACACATTCTCATTTATAAATATCTAAAGAAAGTAATTTATAACATTTAAGTAATATTATATTAATATACTTGAGTTATTTTTTAAAATTAAAAAATAAAATTTACATATTAAAAAAATATAAAAGAATTTTAAATGAAGAGTTGATTTTATTTTTTTCAAATAAGTTGTTTAATACGCAGTATAAAAAAACGAAATCTTTGCATGATTTGTATTTTGTAATAGTATCAATAATATCAATGATTTTGTGTTTGACTCATAGCTATATAATATTATATTTATAAAATTGAAAAGGAATTTATATACAATCTTTTTTGTAATTATGAAATATTATAAAAGATTATGTGAACTTGTAACAAAAAGCACCATTGCTTGGATGGTTAGAAGCTCAACCAAATGTCTAAGAGGTCTTGGGTTCAAACCCCCATGGAGGCATGTTTTGGAAAAAATCAGCAAAAAAAAAGAAAAAAAAAATGGGCGGACCGGTCTGACCGGCCGGTTCTTACCGGTTCAAACTGGTTTGGGCCGGTTCGAAGCAGGTTACGGTCCAATGGGCCGGACCGGACCGGTTGGACCACGGGTTCGCCGGTTCACGGTCTGAACCAGCCGGTCCGGTCAGGTTTTTAAAACTATGGTATGAATAGAGATATGAATGAAGATATGAGATAGAAAGTTGGATTGACATATTATTGAAAAGTTGGTGGAAGCCTGTCTTAGGGGGTTTGGACATGTGGTGAGAAGATCAATAGAGCATCTCGTGAGAAGGGTGGATCAAATGGAAAGTAGACGTGTGCTAGAGGAAAGGGGTAGACTTAAGAAAACTTGGCACGGAGTGGTAAAGGGTGATCTACGAGTCAACGATCTCGCTGCAGATATAATACGGAGTACATGATCAGGTGCAATGACATCATCAACAACAACAACCCACTAGAATCCCACAAAAAGCAAATAGCACGACAAGAGGACAGAGTACACCAAGGGTGAGAAAAAAACAATAAGGCATGAGGTTAATAGAAAACTGAAAGAAGAAACACGTCAAGCCAACACAACACACAACAACACGAACAAAACTAGCACCTTAGACTAAACGACTACCTAACTATCCTAATCCTAGATCTCTAGACGTCCCTATCTAAGGCCATATCCTCGGTAAGAGCCAGGTGTCCTAAGTCCTGCCTAACCACCACCTTCCGATTCTTCCTAGTCTACCCCTACCCACAAACCCACCAACTATCGAAAACCTCTCGCATCACTGCACCGAGGCCTTAGGTGCACGCCTTGTCACATGACCAAACCATCTCAG